ATATATATATTAAAGTATGAATTGTTTATTTCTGGAATTTTCCACTTAATCTTTTCAGACCACAATTGACTGCAGGTAACTGAACCTCGAAAAGTGAAATCATAGGTAATTGGGGGCGGGGGATGACGACTCTGAAATGATTATTTGTGCTGTGCAAATACTTCCTTCTGATATCATTTGGAGGAGTGACAAGTGTCATAGTTACATTCTTCTAGGAATTTCTAAGTAAATGATCAAGACTTGTAGGACTTGTAGTAACCCAAGTGTCTTTAAACAGTGTTTTCTTCTGCATTCGGTATTCTGACCAGAGCTTTGGTGAGGAATTGGGATGAGGGGGTGCATCTCTCCCACAAATAACAAGGATAGAAAAAAGCTCAAATATGTGGGCAGAGTAAGCAGGAAACGTTGCAATGATGTATAAGGAGAATGTAAGCCTTGAGTGCCAGCCACATCGATGCTTAATACGTCTCTGTACATTGCTCTTAATTTATTCACCAGGAAACATTTTGGAAAGAGAAGGGATCAATATGGATCGTTTTATACCACAAAGGGCTTTCCTTGCACTGGTTAGTTTTCCGCTTGCTGATTTTCACCCCTGTGTGCCCATTTAGCAGGTAAAATCCTTTGCTAAAATGGGGATGGGGAGTGGATAAAGCTCTTCCCAAATCTGGCATTTGGTCTAAGTATTACTTAGCCGTTTCCTGGAGTCTGGGACCTGAAATCAGACGATCACAGTGTCATGAGCCTTTGTAAAGAGGCCACCTGGCCCTGGCTGGTTTAACTCAGAGGATAGAGCGTCGGCCCTGGGACTGAAGGGTCCCAGGATCGATTCTAGTCAAGAGCACGTACCTTGGTTGCAGGCTTGAGCCCCAGGGTCAATCGATGTGTCTCTCTCACATTAATGTTTCTTTCTTTGTGTTTCTCCCCATTCCTTCCACTCTTTCTAAAAATCAATGAAAAAATATCCTTGGGTGAGGATTAACAATAAAACTAAATAAAATAAAATAAAAGCCACCTGTGGCTTTGTGCTGAGCAAGATGTACCCCCAGGAGAAGAAGCCAGTGCAGTGTTATCGCCCTTAAAGCTCCAGGCTCAGCCGTCCAGGCTCGGGGACAAGGCCCTGGAAACTGGCCCAGTGCTTCACAACTACCTGGGCGTTACTGTACTTGGTGTCTTTAGTAACTAAATAGTCTTCAAAGCGTCCAAAAGTAAGCAAAATAGAAAAGACAGCTGCAAGGGTGTAAAATGACTGTACTGTTTATAGGATAATACACATTTGATAGATACTTATTTTAATATACAAAATCAATTCAGACATGTCCCCAACAATTGATTTCTTTTTAATCTTTCAAATGCCAAATAAGGAAATGGCAAAAGAACAAAGAAATGTAAGTGGCAGACTTCTGAACAGATGAAAGCCTTCAAAAGGACTTTAAATATATATTGGTTTCAGAAAGGAAGGGAGAGTGAGAGAGAGAAACATCAACAATGAGAGAGAATCATTGATGGGTTGCCTCCTGCACACCCCTCACTGGGGATCGAGCCCACCACCCGGGCATGTGCCCTGACCAGGAATCAAACCGTTACTTCTTGGTTCATAGGTCGATGCTCACACCACCGAACCACGCCAGCCCGGCAAAACGGACTTTTTTTTTTAAAGGTTTGATCATTACCAGACAGACACCAGCTTCCTGCTGCTGCAAGCTGAACTGTTACATTTTATCAGCTAATGTTTTCTGACTATCACACTTCTTCCCCATAATAACTTTATGAGGTAGGTGCTATTGCCTCTTGTCTTACAGATTAGGAAAACAAGGCTCAAGGAGGGTAAACAATCTGACTCTAATCACTTTCTCAGTAAAAAGGGAGGGTTGCTGCAATATTAACTTGGAGGGAGTCTGATTCCAAAGTCTAGTGATCAACCCATGGATCGATCAACCGAAATGCCAGGCGGCTCCCCGAGGAGCTGGGAGGGGGGCACCTCGCCAGGCGTTAAGCCTTCCTACCCTTGCACAGGGTCATTCTGTCCTAGGACAGCCTCTGACGGGCCCTGCGCACTGCGCAAGCGCGCCTCGCTCAGGGGATGCCGCTCATGGCGTAGCTGGGGCCTACTGTCCACGGGAGGCCGAGTGTTGGTGAAGATGCTGAGCTCCAGCCTGGGGCGCCCAGCCAAGCCCTGGGACAGTAGCACAGGCGCCTGTGCGCGCTCCCGGGCACACACATGCACGAGACCACCTCGTCCCAGCCCAGGCGTCCTGGGCAGTTGCTCCTTTCCTTGCTTTCAGGGACCCCCTACCCCCACCCCAACCTGTCTTCCTACCTGAATGGGGAAATGCATAGAAAGTACACGCTGTCACTCTGCTTATTCAAATTGTGCAGCAATGTACCCGCTCAAGTTCTTTTTCTTAAGGAAGAAGGGTCCTTCCTCGTTGGCCCAAGGGTGCCACATTGTCGGCGAGGTCCTGGTGAGAGTCCTTAACTCCAGTCTGCAGCAGCTCCATCCCAGGAGCCCTTTGGCTGCTGAGGGCTTGGGTTGTGCCCACCACTGAGGGGTCAGCTTAAAACCAGCAGAGCAGGCAGGTCACATCTTGTAGGAGACAAAACCCACCCATGACATCGTTCCAAAGGGAAATATTGGGGGTTTTTCAAGCGTGTCATCCAGCTAGACAAGCCACACTTAATGTTCTCTTTCCACGAGGTCATCTCCTCCCTGTGTGGGGCTTTGTCCAGGGCATGACTTAGTCACTGCCAGCGAGCAGCTGGACTGCAGTCAGTGACCCAAACGGCCTCTGCAGGGGAGTCCAAGGGGCCAGGTCAGCGCGAAGGCACCAGCTGCCCCCAGTCAGCCGGGGAATTCCTCTCCTGAATTTTCTCTCCTGCCCGGGGGTTGCATCACTTGCATGGGCTGGCTCAGCTGGAGCATCCTGACAGGTCTGGGACCCGGGACTGGAGGGGTGACAAGTGGTGGAAGGCTATGACCAGTGTGTTTTCTTTGGAACGACTGTCACTGCTCCAGGAGAAGTTCTACAGAAATCAGGGACAGCGAGACCAAGGGGCCGGGACCTGCTCCCTCGTCATGGGATAAAACCCGAGGCCCAGGGCGAAGGGACTTGAGGCGAGGGTGGGGGTGAGGGCAGAGCTGCGCTTGCACCTCCATCCTTAGGGCTGCCTCCGGCCACTTCCCAGCCCGTGCTGCCTCCTCAGTCTGCAGGTCTCAAGAGAAGCAGCTAGAAGAGGTCCAACCACCGGCATCTCAAAGAGAGAAAGAGGACAGTGCAAGTGGACTTTATTTCTAGACCGAGATGGATGGACAGGCCCCCGCCACGCCTGGAGGACAAAAGGTGAGATGAGGCTTTCTCCCCAGAGGTCGGGGTCTGGTCTCCGAGTGTGGAATGTGGGTGCTGAGCTGCAATGGGCGGCTGTCAGGTGCTTTTCCCAGAGCATCTGGGCTTCCCTCCCCCCCATCCCCCCTCCCCCCCAAGAAGGCCAGGGAAGACTCTGGAGTTCAGGGCTCAGCCTCTCTCCTCCTCCCCGCTCCTCTTCTGCTCATTCCCACTCTCCCTCCCACCAGACCATGATTCCCTGGAGGCCCCTTGCATCATGTAGAACCAACAAGTAAGTGCTAGAAAGCCAAGGAAACTTGGAGATCCTGCAATCAGTGCTCTTCCGCTGTAGCAGCGGAGATGGAAGGCTCATTGCGCGAGGCCATTCCGTCAGCCACGGGCAAGGCGGACCCTCCTTAATCCTGGTTCTGTTCTGTTCGCTTCCATCTACACCTCACTGGCTCCCTCCTTCCTTGTGTGCTGTCCCCAGGGCTGGGAGGATAGGAGAGAAGTGGCTCTCAGGAGGGCAGGAGGATGTGGGGGCCATACACCAGCCTGTGCTGGAGGTGAGCTAGCTGCTCTTCCCGGCAGGACCGAGGGACAAGAGAGGCCCCGAGCATCCCTCGTCGCCTGAGAAGCTGTGCGCTGTCACAGGCCCGCGGCCCGCTGCTGAGCTGGGGCTCCCTGCCCAGGAGAAAGGTTGTCTGGAGGTCATTGGCAGGGTCCAAGACATGGCGCTGCGTTATCCTGCAGCCTCCAATCAAGGCTGATAACTGCCCAGGGACATTTAATCTCTACGCTGTGCTTCCTCATTGCCCCTCTGAGGCAGAGACGCGGCCCCACTGTGCCCCCGAAGAAATTGGCCCCAATGCGTGCAGCGTCAGCACTTAGCTCTTTAGGAAAACTGGGGGCCTGGTGCCAGCCTCGGAATGAGCCTGAGCTCGGAGAACATTAATCAAACAATGGACTAGGTGCGGGCACACCTGGGGGAGCCTCCAGGCCAGGGCAGGAAGCCGGAGCTCTGGGAGGCAGGGGAGGCCCAAGGCTGTGCCCAAGACAGGGGGGCTGCTGAGGAGAGGGCGCAGAGGGGACACGAGGAGCCCCTGGACTGCTTCAAATCCGACCATGCTCGGGGCTCTACCTGGATAGGCCGGCAGAGCCAAGCTGCCGTGACAATGTGCAGCTATAGGGCAAACCTAGGGTTCTACTTTTCTCGTGTTCTCTCCTCTCTTTTTTCTTTCAACTCCCACCCTTCCTTTCCTCTCCCCCTGCTCTTATTTTCTCTGATTTACTTCCTGTCTCCTCTCCTTCATTCCCCTTTCTCCTCCTGTAGCCTGTGTCCTGGACTGGCCAGTGACCTCGTGTAGCTCAGAGGTTCAGTTGGGGCAGGGGGGGCAGGAGGCTCCTGCCCATGGGCCAGACCGCTGGCTTGCAGAGCCTGTTCTTAGCATTAGTGTGGGATGTGAGAGCAGGAAGGAGAAAACAATGGCTCTTTAGTTTGCCTTTTTTTTAAATCCTTACCCAAGGATATGCTCATTGATTCCAGAGAAAGGGAGAGGGAAGAGAGAGAGAGAGAGAATCATCAATGTGAGAGAGAGCATTTACTGGTTGCTTTCCATATATGCTCCAACCGAGGACTGAACCTGAAACCTTTCGGATTGTGGGATGATGCTCTAACAACTGAGCCACACCAGCCAGGGCAGTTTGCCTTATTTGTTATCGCTAGGTCCCCGGAAGTGCAGGCAGTAGATAGATTCAAAGACCAGATTTTTCATCGAAAAGCATCCATGAAAACCATGGAGGGTACAAAAGAAGTACCATGTGCACTGTTTTCTGAATCGGCAGGCACTAAGAGACCATTGCCATGCTCAGTATGGGGTCTATCAAGAGTGGTCAGGTCTTGTTCACAGCAGCTGCCCACACTGAGCTGGATCCCGCTTCAGAGCTGGAGGTGGACAGAGGAGACCCAGCCCTGTCTGCAAGGAGCTCCCCCGGCCAGTGGGAGACACCACAGGGATGATAGGTGCAAATGGGGGGACAGGGAGAGCTTTCTAGAAGCTGTGGAGAAGACACAGAATAGGACCCTCGTGCAGACAATCCTGGGGCTGAAGGTTCATTTTTAACTCCTTATTACCGACCAGAGGCACACGATCAGTGGAGCAGAAAGTTTCCCATGAGGAATCTGTTCTACAAAAGAGAAGGGGACGGGAGAGGGGGAAGGGCGCTGCTCTGTACCAGGCACACTGTTGGCACTTCCAACACAATCTCATTGGTGTCGTGTAACAACCCCATGTGTGTGCTCTCTTTCCCTGGAGGGGAGACCAGTCCCTGACACAGAGTAAACTTGTCCAGTTCCCACAGGGCCACTAAGGGTTAAACCTCCAGCATATGGTCTTTCCCCTGCACCATGCTCCCCGAACTCAGAGCTCCCCATACCTAGAGCTCCCCAAACCCAGAGCTCCCAGTGGCACAGGCCAAGCATGCATACTTGGGAGTGTAAAGACCGAGTCCAGCTTTGCTCAGAGAGGGCGGCCCCGTCCTGCTCTTAGAGATGTCCATCCCGGCCCACACTGAGCAGACCGAGCCCCCAAAACAAGAAGGTGCTGAACCCAGGCCCACTGCTGCTCACCCCAGCTCCTCGCTTCCTCCTCCTCAGGCCTCTCCATTTGCAGTGTTTTTTGCAGGTCGCCAACCAGAGGGCAGGATGGAAAATGCAGGTGGCCCTCATACTGTGCCTGTTGCAAGGTGAGTCCCAAACAGCCCAGAAGCAGAGCTTGCAAAGCCAGACCGGAGCCTTCCAGGCTGCGGAGACTCCTGGCGGGCACCTCGGTGGCAGGCAGTGCTCCCTCGGCAGTTAGGGCACCGCCATGGCTTTCTCTCCTGGCATCCAAGGCCATGCAGCGGGCCCAGGGGGTGGTCAGATCTGGGCCCCGGGGGAGCAAGGAAGCCGAGAGCTCCCAGGAGAAGGCACATGCCTGACTTGATGGCTTCCAGAATATTCGCTGTTCTGATGTTCCCTACTCTCTGCCCTCTTCCATTCATCTTAATGACTGGAAGTCGGCTGCATTTGCAAGGTCAAGGTTCCAGGGTATGCAAAAAAGACTAGCACTGCTCCATGACCACTTACTCTACAATCAGGCCCAGTGCAAGAGACATAAAGAAAAAGACCCTGTCCTACTCTAAAAGAGTTAGAGTCTATAAAAAAAACCTAGATAGATAAATAAAAATTGTGTCTATGCAAATACTTAGTCGATATATATTTACGGAGAGCCTGCCATGTGCCAGGCACTAGGGACAAATGGATGTAAGGCAGAGTCCCTGCCCTAAAGGGGGTGAGGTGAGGCTGTCCAGGTACATATCAGGCTGAGATGATGAATGGCCTGTTATCATGCTGTGGTTTCTGGACTTTATTTGATGGCAAGAGGGAGCCATTAAGGAATGTGCCTAGAGTGTCTGGTACCTAGAACCTGGCCCCAAGTAGATACTAACAAATTGTTAGCAAGTAACTGCTGGATGAATGAACAGATGAAAATGTTATGGTAATGCCAACCAAAAATTAACAACTGTTTTTGGCTTATAAACAAATCAGAGTTTTAATGAATCAAAGGTAGCTAATATTTGAGCAAGAATTCTCTGATAAATCATACCATTTCTTTAATCTCTCACCGCTCCCTTTAATTTATCAGGAGGAACTGACTCCCCATGTCCCCAAATGAAAACTCAGGCAGCCCATGATTTTTCTGCTGACATGTAGATAATAGTCCTAACTTAATTCCTTTAAGTTTCAAACACGCTAAATGTAATAATTTTAAGTGGCCAGCTAGACATCTTAGTCAGCATTTTAATCTTCATTCAGAAATATGGCCCCTCATGCGCCCAAGGCCTGCGGTCAGAAAGGCAGGAAAGGGGCTGGGGTGGCCTCCTTCTCTCTTCCCCTCCCCCTCACCCCTTATCTTGGCAGCTGCCACTTGGACCCCACCAGGGACACAGTGGCAGGAGGGAGGAGAGGCAGAGGCAGGAACTCTAGTGATGGGATGGCCTGGCAGGGGGTTAGAGCTGACCCTTCCTCTTGGAGGTGCCTCTGTGGACCCTTATATGGCCCCTGCTGGCCCATCTCCTCCCTGTGCCCATGTTCTGCTGTGGCCCCTCACATAGCAGACCCTCATCTCAGATGGCTGTGGGTTGGCTTTCTTCCCTCCAGGCCCCACCTCCTGGCCAGGGAAACACACAAATACACACACACACACACACACACACACACACACACACACACACGTTTCTCACACCTTTGTTGGTAGGAGAAGAGAGCGAGTGCAGGAATAACCCCACTGACCTTTTGCATCTTCTCAGGCCAAGTCCTGCTCAGTCCAGCTACAGGTCTCACTCACCCTCCCTAATAGAAGCCATAGCTACGGACAACTGCTGGGAAAGGGTGGGTGAACGAGAGCAGGGCACCTCTGCCCCTGAAGGGCAGAGAGTTTGCATCAGGGACCCCAAGTGGGCACCCCACTCTTACTGAAACACTAGCCCTTTCTTTAATTTTCACAGGGGACCATTAAGAAAACCCCAAATACCTTAATTATAGACAACTGAGAGCTACTCATCAGTAATCCACCAAATGAGTTAAGGGCCAGTAACATTCACTATTATTAAAAGAAAAAGTGTTCATTGCCAAGTAGATTCAGGATTCTTTTTTTTTTTTAAATATATTTTATTGATTTTTTACAGAGAGGAAGGGAGAGGGATAGAGAGTCAGAAACATCAATGAGAGAGAAACATCGACCAGCTGCCTCCCGCACATCTCCCACTGGGGATGTGCCCGCAACCAATGCACATGCCCCTGACCGGAATCGAACCCGGGGCCCCCCAGTCCGCAGGCCGACGCTCTATCCACTGAGCCAAACCGGTTTCAGCGATTCAGGATTCTTAATCAGCCTCCCACAGCAAAGTTGGACCGCCCCATCCTGCTGATTGACGGGGCAGAGCGCCTCTCACACATGCCACGTGCTGATCACGAGAGTTCCTGAAACCTGGGGTAGGAGCCCTTTATCAGGCCACCATCACTGTTGTCCTGAGAAGGTCCTTGTTTGTCATTGTGAATTTTCTTGCCTTTTAATGATAAGTTGCCATTTAATTTTATTAATAGGGGCATGGTTGATAGTTGGTCGTTTAGTTAAACCTACACTGACTATTGGTGCGTCCATAGCATTTATGGCCTTGACTCTTCCTATGATTATTCCTCAAGACACATGCAACGGACAGGGCCTGCTTCATGGGCACACGCCCTGTGCAGTCACACGGGACCCTGCCATTTCTGAACAAGGGGTCTTATATTTCCATTTTGCAATGGGCCCTGCAAATTATATAGCCAGTCCTCGCAACAGGATGTTAAACTGAACTTTCTTGGGTTCAGAGGCGCTAAAGACATAGGATCGATGGATAGATGTTGATCCACTGTGTTGGACTGTGGAGAGAGACTGCAAAGCTGGCTGTTCCCACAGTAGCCCACCATGTAGCCATCTGAGGGTAGAAGAGCTCACTGTGGGAGCCACATTAAGCCAGGTTTGAGGGGACTTCTAGAAAGGCGCTCCACAAGCTTGCCGTATGTCCACGTTTCCTCTGACAGCAGGACACAGGTGTGCTTCCTGTGAGCAAAGGTGGGACCTGCAGAAAGGACCTGGCCCGGGGCCTCCACCAAGAGGGCCGCCCAGAGGAGACTGTGCCCACAACATGCCACAGGTGGCCAGAGTCGTAAGCTTGGAGGTGGTGGGGTCCCAGGAGGCCAGCAGGAGAGGCAGTTCTCACAAGGAAGGGACTGCAGCCAGAGGCCTGGACAGACCTGAGAGGCAGCAGAGAAGGAAGCTGCTCTGGCCATTTGCATGTCCAGAGGGCACCAGAGCAGACCCCCACTGTCCTCTCTCTGCTCTCCTCCATATCCACTCCCAGAAGGGCCTAAAAGAGCAGTTGGGGGTAGAGCAAAGCAAGAGACCCCCAAAGGTCCCCTTCCTCCACACAGGCCTCCAAACCTAACTGGGAGAAAGAAAGAGAAAAGCTTCAGTTGGGTCAGAGAGTGGAGGTGGAAACAGTCTTTGGACTGGACTGGTTCCATGATTTTACATATGCAACCAGTCTAGGCTGGGCTTTTCTTACCTAGGTGAGACTGTGAAAGCCACCGTGCGCGAAAGCATGCCTGAGATTGTCTCAAGGAGCAGAGAAGTCCACAGAGCGAGGATGAAGAGGCAGAAAGAGAAAGAATAAGCGGTGTTTCTGCTGGCACCCATCAAATTTAAGGCATTCAGTAAACAGGCCACATGCGGTGGTTCAACTGGGGTTTACACCTATTGCCAAAGCAGACGTAGTCACACTGCCGGCCTCTGGGCCTCGCCGTGGCACGTGGTTGTGTCCGTTTCTACAAAAAGGTGGCCGTGTGAACACGTTTGCAACCCCTGGTCTGGGGAGAGACCCGCCATGCCGCCCAGAATTCTTGTGTTTCAGTCCCCTCCCCACGCCCAACCCCCCACCCCTGTTTCAGCAGAAAGCACGCTGATCTGATCTTACTATTGAACATTTCTCTTTACATTTCATGCAAATACACCGCAGTCCCCTACCAGATGTCCCCCCTGCCCTCTTACGCGTGCTTAGATGGCAGCCTTTTAAACATCTGCATCGGAGCCCAGCGAAAGGAAGCCAGGCCCTGCTCGGACTTGTGTGCGTTCGAACACCTGGCGCACGAGGAATGTGGGCTAAGTCATGGCTAAGGTGCTTCTTTCGAGCCCGTCTCTCAGATGGGGCCTTGGATGTAGCTTCATGCCAGATCTTGAGACGACTCCTCGCCCGGGGCCTAAGTTCTGACGTTTCTATGTTGATTCTTCTTGCCTCACTTTTAAGGAGGCGTTTTCTCACCTGTCCCCTAATCCTGCAGAGTGTGGAGCTGGAGTGAACACGACACTCCCTCTCCTGAGACTTTGCTCTCTCTGCCTGCAGCTGCCAATGCGCTGAAGGGCCCGAGGCTGGTGTCTGGGGAGCCTGGGGGCGCTGTCACCATCCAGTGTCGTTACACCCCCACGTCCATCAACAGGCACCAGCGGAAGTACTGGTGCCGCCTGAGCCCCCTGACGTGGCTCTGCCACACCGTCGTGTCCACCAACCACTACACGCACGGTCGCTACAGTGGCCGCGTGGCGCTGGCGGACTTCCCGCACCGCGGCCTGTTTGTGGTGAGGCTGACCCAGCTGTCCCCGGAGGATGGGGGGTCCTACCGCTGTGGCATCGGAAACGGGAACGACATGCTGTTCTTGAGCATGAACTTGGCCGTCTCCGCAGGGATGGGTGAGTCAAGGTTGACGACGCGGGTGCCAGGAAACAGGTGTAAGGGAAGGAAGGGGTCCCAGAGGCGGTGATGAGGGAAAGCTGGGGCGAGGCGCGGACTTTGAGAAGAAGGCTTCTTCTCCTAGGAAACCACCATCAGAAGGAAGGCAGATGCCAGGGAGAACTGCCCAAAAGGA